CGAGATGGAGGCTCACCAAAACTATCAAAGTATGATCCTCTGTCATAGCAAACCCAGTCTCCAGTGTTATCTCCTTCATGGAGTAAAATGATATATCGACCGTTTCGCTTGATAATAGCCTTCGCTTCTTCGATTATGATCACTCCATCGAGCTGGATTTTTAATTTTTTGCAAGATCTTCTAGCTCGTGATCAGACGTCAAGCCGTTCATTTATTTAAAATTCTAAACGAAACTATATTGATACGAATATAAGCAACTATGGCTACTCAACTCACGGATGAATTTCCCCATGAATCGGCTACGGCGGGCCCTGATCAATCAGTCAGCGTCTCAAAGGGTAAATCGATGTCCTATGTAATTGATTTAAATGAAGGATCCTACATGAATGGTATCGTCACCCTGAACGCAACGAATCAACTTAATGGTTCCCAGGGATACGCCTCGCTTCGTGATGCATACATTACCGTTCCGTCTGTTGCTATATATAATGGCTAGACGAAGAAGCTGATATCATAAAGCTTTTTGACCGCGCTTCTGTGACACCCCTAGTGGGCGTTGATAGAAGTATCCAGTGTGATGACGCTAATGTTGATTGGTGAGATCTTTAATAGTACAAATTGTAGTTATTTAGACCGCACTCCCAACGAAGCAACAGCACGGCGCGCTTGCGGTATCCAAGCTGATAGGCCGCGTGCGTGAATGGGCAATCGCAGACGGTACTCGGTGGAAGAGGTTTTTCTTAATTTTTGAAGCGACTTATGTCACGACATATAAAAATGCGTTGTCAGTATATTCGAGGCCTTGCTTACTCATCAATAAAAGCAAGTGCTAGTGATCTATGTCTAGGAAGTTCTTGTTTGCTCGTCAAGGAGGTAGAAGATAGCATTATATCCCCGCAACACATTTCAATTCCTACGTAAACGGTAACAATCACCATCTAAATGAAGAATCGTAGAACTGGTTAAGTTCTGCCGCGACCTTTAGCGTCAACCCTACCTCTTCAAAGAGAGCGTTAAGGTCTCGTAATATACAAAGAGCCGCTTCGGGCAATAAGGGCGAAATAGGGTACCAGATGTGGGGTCTTGAAGAGCGCGCTAGGGGCGATAGACTTGAGCCATGCTAAGGAGGTTGTGAGAGGTATTGCGGACGTCAGATGCACATAGATATTGCTGTAGGCGACTACTTTCCCTAAAACAACGGTCTCTTCAAGCAATTGCTAAATTATTCTCCATTACGAAACGAACGGGTTCCAACTGAGCACTTGTAAGCGAGGGGTCAGCAGTTGACATTTCTATTACGGTGTCTAGCACCATAAAAATGTTTGCTTAACGCTTTTTGAAAAGTACAAATAAGATCCAATGCAATGATCATCAATTCTCATGCTGACTTCCTGATCAACGGCTAGGCTGTGTTGACCAGGCAACGGTGTTGCTGACAGCAGCAAAACAGGACATATTGCTCAAACGACTCGCAAGATCCATAATTTTTTTATACCATATATATATATTTGAAAACTGAAAATGAACAAAAACGATATGAACTACCAGCACTCTGCCATAATCGGCAGGCTAACTGGCGCCGATGCATGTGAAGGTAAAAACCTGCTGCCATAATCATGAAGCGCGCACGTATGTGCTTACCCACTTATACGTATTGGATCACCAATACATAATAGTCACCCAGCAACCTGTCTTTTCGTTCAAGGTGACTACCCGAAAGGATCGTTAATTCATTTGTAAGTGAAATCCTTGTTCGAAATCACACTGCACGTCGAGTGTCATAAAATTTGTGCTGTCATCCAATACTTCTTGATATAAGATGTAACTATGCAATTATGCTCGATAAAGTGGTGTCCGTGCTCATAAACATCTTGTGTTCGAAAATCTTAGCAAGACAATAAATATTTTGTCTGACCAGTACGTTGTTTGTTTCGCCTCATCAATTGGCGACGGCACCATCCTGACTTCTGATAAATTATAGTAGAGTTGGCAAGAAAGCGTATCCACCACCACATTATTCCAGTCCAACTTATACCTTACCGCGAAGATCTTTTTTTGTAAGAAAAAGGGTAAACTGTGCAAATCAGGACTGCAATTGTCGTCAACGCAGTCGCCTACAACGGAACAGGGTTGCTCTGTAATGCAACAATTCGCGTGTTACACTGCCTGCAGTATACATGACAACTTCGAATGTCTACCACTGCAGTGGTAACATTGCGGTAAAGATATATCCAGCTGCTGATTCGGCAGCAATGCCAATGACAGACGTTCGGTTTCAGGGGTTATGATTATGAATGCAGGCGCGGATATGGTTTACATATCAAAGTACTAGCGAGCCGTTGCACTCAGATCGGCGTAGACTGAGTATATGGTTACCAGCCATTGCATATATATCCTTTTTTGGACGCGAGTGACGCTTGAGGACGTCGGTCTCGAGCAACTGGAATGCAGAAAGGATTGTGATGACAGCCAAGGACCGATAGCGCTAGCCAACAACACCGGATACCATGCTTGGACGAAGCACGCGGACACTAGCCATGACTTTATTCGCAATAGAGCGTGCAAGAAGGGATCTTGACAACTGTTTACATCGATTTGCAAAAATGCTTACAAAGGCACTCGGAAATAAGATGCTTTAGTTATCGAATATCCAGCTCAAGCCAATCGAAATTAAGATGCTGACCTCTGCACGCGAGCATCGGTGTCAAGATCAATTTTCAGTGTCTTGGAGCAACAAGTAGGAGCGTTGGAATCACGCCGCTCCAAACTGTCGAAGAACAATGTTGCAGCTCTATGTTATACACATACTAAAGGTTTTTCGTTGGTACCTCCACTTTTATAACTTAATGTTCAACTCCTTCATAGTATAGAGTGTAAGGGTAATTACTGCTTGGGGCTAAGTTTGGGCTTTCTCCTTCGTCTTTTTATGAGATCTAATATCATTCGGAAAAGTGATATGACATCACATGACAGGATCAGGATATACGATTTGTAACATCTTCTTTCTTGTATCATTCGAGGCCAAAAAACTAGTCTGATGATCTCAACGGGTTGTGCTTCAAATTGTATAGAATAAGGAAGTATTAGCACTATAGGCATCGCACAAAAACATGCTCCCGCCCTTCCAATAATTCATTCCTCAATTTTCTTTTAGGGGTTGGAGACCGATGACCGCTGCATGGAACACTCAACGTAAATTTTCCTTTTTTGCTGTCTGCGTCACTTTATTGACCTACAGTGAAATATTTCATTTGAAAACAATGATGGCGAGTGGTGAGCGTGCAATGGCTCAGCGACACGAACGAGCCTTATCGCTCACTGCGGATCAATTGTCAACGTCTTTGGAAGAGCACCTGTTATTATCGATGAAGAGGCAGGGATACTCTCACGCTTTTTGACTCATTTTAAGCTTTCGAGTTTATGGAATAAACTTGCATCATCTTGGATCATGAGATTATTCAAGCCACATATCTACTTGAGACACGCTACTGACAAAGACATCGCAGCCTTCGAATTACTCAAGAAAGCAAACGTTGACAAGGTGAAATCGGATCTTTTTAATAGCCGTGAATTTCAAACGTGGTCGAGATATTTTGCGAACGCCTTCCCGGATAGTCCGGAATTGGGGGCTCAGCTTATGATGGCGGCACAGGTGAAACACGGCATGGACAAAGTGAAAGGCCCCATTTCGAAAACCAAGGTTGGCGACGGCAAATCAGCTCTTGGCGATCACTTTGAAAAAGCGATATGGACTACATCGCCATATCTAAGGAAGACGAGGCTGCGAAGGCTCTTGCTGACCGAATTCAAGGCTCATTGCTTACACGCAAACAGAACTTAAACGTATTTAAGGGCTTAAAACTCCGTGGTGAGGGGGCAGAAGGTGATGTTCCTGTTGTTCGGATCAGTAGCGACAAGGAAAAACCACATGTGCAAGAGTTGTCGTATAAACAGGAGGAGCTAAATGAGCCGCACAATGATTTGAGACCTGCCTCTAAGGAGGAGACAGAAGTTTACAAGTTGTTTATAAGCGATAACGTTGACAAGGTAACGAAAGATCTCTTTACTAGCGATGCGTTTCGTAGTTGGTCGAAACATGTTGCCGACGCCTTTCCAGATGATCGAAAATTGGGGGCTGACCTTATGGTGTCGGCACTGGCAAAACACCGCATGGACAAACTGGAGGACTTCATTCCGACTACTGAAGCTGTCGACGGCAAATTAGCTTTTGCAAACATTTCGAAAAAGCGCTATTCGAGTACGTCGCCACTGCTAAGGATATTGAGGATTCATAGGCTTCTGCCGTTGCTTTTGAAGGCTCACACTTAGTGATAACCTGAAGAAAGTCGACAGCTCAACATTCATCGGTGAGCGAATCGAAAATAATCTTTTTGATTGATGGTTCGGCGACAACAAGAATCTTCTTGACATTCTCCAAATCCAAGCTTGCAGAAATGGTTTAATTCTAGGCCTCATGACGGTCTTAGTGGTGGTGCCCTCGACCTGTACCCCAAGTAAAGTCCAATTGGTTTTAGTGACGAAAAAAATGGTGAAGCTTATCATAAAGCTCGAGGTGATGCGAGAAGATTTTGGAGGAACTGATTGATTTCAAATGGATGAAAAGCTTAAGCCTTTAAAGTCTGCTTTAAATAAAGGTGAGATCGATGGATTCCCTGATTGGGCTGAGTTAGCCAAAAACTTACAAGCTGATCCTGTCAAGTCTATGTTGCCCATTTTGATGAGATATGTAACGGATGATAAAATTTTGGTGCTTTGTGATCTCAATTTTCCGAGAAACGTTGTGGACCGATTACAAGCAAAGATGATCACGTACTGGCACCCAGCTGATCATAAACTTTTGCAGACCATCAAACCAAAAGTCCTCGATCCTGACAAAGTCTTGACGAGAGCGTGGATGGCTTTTTCTGGAACGGCAACGTCAAATTGATGTGAATCACTCGATGAATAGTAGTTCGAAAACACGCAATCCCACCATCATACCATAATTGATTGCAGTAGAAAAAGAGAGCTAAAATGATAATTCAGATCTCTTGTGGGCGGTCTTGAAAAAGATCAAGTATAGGTGCGGTCGTTCCTTTTGTCTCGGCGTCTGTTGACGCTAGGTGTGCTTTGATATAATGCTAATTCGTTACTTGAATAGAAGCAATATAAAATTGAATAATCGTAAATCTGTATACTCAAACCACCAAGCTTTAGCTGATGCTGCACAGCGGTATGAGGAAGTTAGGATTTAATTGCGAGTTGTCTGCTAGCATTTCGAACGAAGTAAGGAAACATACTTTAACAATGGAGGCTTGCCAAATAGCAATCTCATACACGAAGATGAAAGTATATTTTTACAGAATGATAATCAGCTATTATTTCCGTTTGAATGGTAATAATTACAAGAAGTCTTCTTCAATTCTCTATGATACTATAGTGTATTATGATGAGCCGTATGAGTGATAATATCAGTACATCATCATAGAACTAGTAGTATTACTACAACTACTACACTATGGCCGATGTAAGGATAAAAAGTAAGATTCTCATAAGGTGCTATGACCCGAGAGTCATAATCATGATGGAACGTCACCATTATAAACCATTACGTATTCATACATCATAACAAGGTGCGGAAGTAAAAGTAAGAGTGATAGTCAAGACATTTCCAAAGTCTGCGTTTGGACGAAAGAGATAGGTATCAAGAAGAACTTACACATTACACTACTGTCATTGTTGTCTTCGAATTTGAAGCAAAGGTCAGATCTTCAAAAAGCGTATTGTGTCATAATGTCATGAGTAATTCTGGTACGGGTGATGGGACTATGTTGAGGAAAAGTCCATAGGACGCATAGGCTGCCAGTCTCACTTGATGCATGACACAGAGGTTCACCTCCGTGGAAGGAAAAAATCAGTATATAATTAATTTGACTGATTCACATCTGTCACTCATACACATTAAGAACAAAGCACTCGAAATCCTGTCGGGCCCGGTAACCGCTGGAGCGCATCAGCTAACTTATTATGCGTTGTTTAACGCATCCTCATTGAGTCAAAACATTATCGGTGTATGGTGCATGGCAACCCGTTGCATTTGGTAGCGCTCGTCGTAATTCCACGGCCAAATGTTAAAAAGTCTGTCCTATAATAATTCATCTTCTCGTCAGCGACACATTTATTTAGCTGTTGTCGTTTGGTGTCTCAGAAGGTTTACAACACAACTTGCGGTCTACGAGTGTGAAGCGAAGAAGGCTTGCTCGAGAGATACAACACCTTTAATAATGTGCTGGTCATACACCTCCAAGATCGCCTTAACCAGACGTCTGCGGGGCAATCCAGATTTATTCAAGCTAAGATTCGAACTTTCTTAAGGCAGGGTTAAGAAAATGCCTTGCTTTGTACAAGACTTATAGATGGCCATGATCCGACCACGGTCCACGGTGCGTCACGCAAATGGAATTCGGGCAACATGACCGTGTGCACCCA